GTACTGGACGCGGGGACCGTCCAGAAGCATGTCCAAGAACAGCCCTTTTACTGGCGGCTGCCCAGTCAGTTCCAGGGAGACCAGGTGAGGCCACATCCAGTCTGGAGCAAGGATGCATGGCCTTGGGGGAATGGGTGTCCTTTCAAACCAGAATAGACTTCAAATCGGGTTCCAATCACTTTATTTTTCTCCTTCCTAAAGCAGCTATTCAACAAACATTTGAAGTATTTGCTAATATAAGCTAAGTGCTGTGGTCCAGGAGTTCCTCCTCAAGAAATCTTCATTCATTTGGGGAGGGGAAAAAATATACTATGAAATAGTCTTGGAAGGCATTAATTATATTTTTGTTAATACAAGCATGGAGTCTGTGTATGAATTCACCCTGAACTTTAAAATTGACAAATATCTATCCAGTGCTCCTACAGATATAGATCATTCTTAATACTTCTGGATTAAGCTTGAAAATAATTGGAATCATTACCACATTGATTTGTTATTTCGAGCCTGCTTTTATTGGTGCCATCAAGAAGAACTATAGCTTGGGTCAATGTAATAATCTGTGTTTAAGTAGAGTTAGAGGGAATGAAATTCCATACAACGTTATTTCACCCATTTGCTATATTTTTAAAATTGCATGTTTAAACAAGATTTCTTTCAACTGTCAACAGGCTTTCAATGAAATGTTTTTAAACTAATCTGTGTTAGGAAATAAATATTGATGTATTATTTGGATAGCTCCTGGCCTACGGTGGCAAACTGAGGTACAGCGTGGCCTTCTATTCTGTGGATGGTGTCGGCACCTCTAACTTTGAGCCTCAAGTCCTCATCAGAGGAGGCCGGGCCAGAAAGCAAGTCATTTACATGGACGCATCCGCACCTGACAACGGCGTGAGACAGCAACAGGAAGTGGGGATGAAAGAGGTGAGGATGAGGTCTTGTCATAGAAGCTCCTTCATGTAGACTTTGCCGTCAATGCAGTGAAATTATGAAGCTACTCATAAGAGAATGAGGCCTGAGATCAAAATTCCAATGGATTTAGCAAGATTTCTAGAAATTATTCAAGTTTCATTTTCTCCAGAAATGTGTATTAGGCTTATGTTAACTTAATTTAGTGGGAACTGCATCCTAAATTCTTTGTCTTGGTTCCCAAGTCTCTACCTGCGTAGACATGATGGTGCAGGCGTCTTTGGACTCACCTGCATTGGGGAAACATGCGTTCGTTCTGCAGATTTTTATGGAGTGTGTGCTCTGAAGCTGGTACTGTCTTCGGTCATGTGTATCTATCAACAGGTGAATCTGACACTGTCCCTGCCCTGTGGAGGTCAC